TGCACTCTTCCTGTGCTTTATATTTAAAAATATTAATAACTTCCAAAGTACTATTTCAAAAGCTGTTATCGACCAGTCATTTTCTTAATTAAATTATATTGTATTTTATTATCTAGTTAAATATGTATATTGTCATTTAAAAAAATAAAATTGACACTCCTATAAGGCAAATAGATGAATTTAAAAAACACTTAATAATTAATAAATTAAATATAATTTGTTAATTATATTTGAAAATATAACCCTATTCCCAATTAAATGTAAGTTAAATATCTTGGTCTTACCCTTGACAGTAAATTTAACATCCATTCCAAAGTGATAACTATAACCCAGCGTTTTAGAAGACTATAGCCACTACACTAAAGAAATGCCAAAACTGCACATCAAAGTCATAATATATAAAAGCCATATTAAAACAAAGTAGTCGTATGGTATTGAATAATGGGATACAGCAAAAAAGTCTACTAACATTAGCAAAATTAATGTTCTCCAATCAAAGTGTCTATACCGTATACTCAACGCCCCTTCTTACATATCAAATGAAACAATCCTTAATGACCCCCCCAATTCTTTGCCGTAAGACAAACTGCTATCTTTAGATACAACAAATTCCACAAACTACTCCAAAATCATCCAAATCTTTGCATTAAAACCTTATACTCCCAAATTCCTAATAATCCTTCATTTCACTTTTAAAAAATTTGGTGTATTGATCTCCTTTAATTATAAAATTAATTATATTAAAATAGCTCTTTAATTTACTAAATTACTTAAATCAGTTGGAGTCTCGCCACTGGACGGCTTCTCCACAAATTATTGTTTTTTTAATCATAAGTATTTATTGTATATTTTTACTACAACAAATTCAATATATATTTATATATTTGAAAATATTAATTATTATTTTAAGATAAATCGAGCCGTTAATATTAAAACATCACCTAGTATGTTAAAAGTGAGCAAACGGTCCGAAACATTTTCGAAAATTCGAGTTTTTGGTATAACGAAAAAAAATTTAGATTATTCGTTTTTTTCTAAATTTACTGATTCGACAACACTAATTAAAATCGGGTTCTTTTGACACATAGATCAATAAAATTGATCCAATGAGAGATGAGAATTTTGATAAAAAGGCACAAAACAAAAAACACATCATCATAAAACCAATTTCTGGACTTTTCATCGAAATTAAAACAATAAATAAAATGTTTTTCAAATATTATTATTATACTACATACATTTTTAAAAAATATAAGAAAAAGTTGATTAAACTCTACAAAATCAATCAAGATTTCTAGATAATTACATTACACTCCGCATGCATGTATATTTATAAATTAAAGTAATATGGATTTAGAACGTTAAATTGTAGACAAGTATTTCTTTTTCAAAGGATTACAGTGAATGTTTTTTCGTAATTAATAAATTAAATCTATCCAATAGTAACTTAAAAAAATAAAACGAAAGAAAGGGGGTGTTAACCGACCCCCGGGGATTTTCGATATTCGTTATGTGCTCTGTCCCTGGCACTAGCTGTCTCCGTCAACTAACTAAGACGCGGTAGTTCCTCACCGATAGTTGATCATTAATCAAAATATTTCCCCCAGCCAAAAGTACTCCCTGAAAACCTCTGAATAGTAATATTCTTCTCTCTCGCAACCTTTCTCTTTATTTTTCCCTTCGGTTCTCTCATACATGTTATCTCACCGTACTAATATTCTACGTACATTAAAGATATTTTTCTTTCTTTTCATATTTTACTGCTTATTCGTATATTTGTTTATTTAAGATAACCATAGCATTATTTCTAAGTAAATAGTAAAATTATTGAAGACAAAAATTATTTATATTACTCATTTATAAGCATCATAGAGAAAATATTACAAAAAATCTAGTTTAGAATATTTATCATACATAAATATTTACGTTTAAATAATCAATTAGATAAACAAAATATTAAACGGTAATTTAAATGAACTAATATGGAGAAACTATTTTATTTTAATTGTAACGTACCCAATTATATGTGGAAACTTTAAAAATGGCGACTGGGACTAATAAGACGGCAAACAATGTTAAAAAAAAAAGAAATAATAATAAAAAAAATAACGATCCAAAGAAATTGGTCTCGAAACAATTCATTAATCTTAACCAGGATACCATCCCTCCCGTTGAGAGTTGGCAGTCAATTTAAAGAGAGCTCCCTATTCTAGTATAGGCAGTGATATAATGCTTTTAAATTGGCCACGTTCGATATGTATTGAACAGTCATGGGGTGACTTAGGGTAGTTGTGCGGGCTTTGCTCAAAGAATATTGACAATATTCATTTTAAACAACATGTGTATTTGAAAAAAACCAAGAACCCTAAAAACTAATTCTTGTATTGTTGTTTTCATGAATATAACAAACATTTTTATACATTTTTGAAACTAATAAAAAAATTATTTATTATTTTTGTAATTTAAAACAAAATCGTAAAAGCAATTATTTTATGCGCTGATATATTTAATATTTTATTTAAGATGAAATCCAAAAGTCTTTAAGTTTCAATGCTTTATTTCATCTAAATTTAAGAATTATAGGATAATGTACTACATCTGAGAACACGTTTAACTCTCACAAAGCGTAATAAGAGTCCTTAAAAAGCGAATACTTTGAAAACAAATATATACGCAAATGTTTCTATCAAATTTTTATTGATCAAATATTGATAACAGACGTGTATTTCTATATTTAAACACAGAAAAAGTTTATCCATAAATCATTTGTAGATTAAAAGATTTTTATAACTTTAAAAAAATCATTTATACTCATTCTTAAAAATTCAATTAGTTATACATATACGTAAACCAAAATACAAGTCGTACTAAAAAATCTACAATAAAAATTTTTTCAAATGTAAAAAAATAAACTAATTCTAAGATTAATTCACCTAATCACATAACCAATATGATTAAGTGTTTAAAAGTAATTTAATGTTTGTGTATAAATAATTGTATTAAAAACTCTACTAATCATTCATTCGTAAAGTTAAAAATACATTTAGACGTTACATTCAAAAAATGACTTACTGGGATACAGAAAGGCTCCAACTTACTAATAAATATTGAGCATAATTCATTAATGTTTTTTGTAATAAGAAAATTGGGCCTCTAGTAGGGCGTTTCTAGATTTTACGAGATCCTGGCAAACCAATTAATTGTTGATGCGATAAAAATCCTCCTTTTTCATATTTTACGTGGGTGACTTATTCTATATATCACTGACAATTCGATATGTATCGAGAGGGGTTAATGGTCTCCCTCAAAGAATCTTAAACTTATATTTTAGATGATAAATAAGATTTATAGTACTAAATAACTAAAGAAAACATTATTTTTGACCTACTCCCCAAATAAAATTCTGATTATGTGCCTGCTGACTACGATCAAATTTTAGCATCGATTCAAAGCTATTTTCATAAAATATTTTATATTGTGCCTGTCTTATTAATACTCAACTTCTACAGGAATAATATTGAATTATATATAGGTAAAAAAATTCTCCTTTTTTTATGAGAAAAAATATCTCGTGTGAATCGATCCTGATGTTTTAAAACACCAGAGTTGGGCATTCAATTATATGAATTAAAAATGTAAAGAATGATATATGATATATGAAATATGAAATTTTTTAAAATAATACTTTAGACAATAAAATTTCTTTTAACATATTATTTTGAAAATCCGATTAATAACGTAAGTAAAATTGAAGTTAAAATTTAGCTATAGATCATATTTAAAAGTTTTTTCTTTTATGACAACATTCTGAAAACCCTGACACTTTTTGAAAAATTATTGAACTTGAGCATAATATGCAGTATGATTTAAGTTAAAAAAAAAAAGTTTTGTCTATTTGTCTTTTATATTATTCTATTAGAAAATTATATGACTTATTAGTGCATAAAATTGTAAGGCAATCTGTCGAGTTGCAGGGTTCATGCGAAGGCACTGGCTCCTAGAAGTTATTTCCCGAAAAAAAAAAATTCAATATGCACCTAAACTCATTTAAATCGGTAATCTGAGATACTCAATAAATCAATAACAATTAAATTTACCGGAAAAGAAAAAATAGTGGAAAACTTCACTAAAAGTTGACCAAAAAAATCCAGTCCAGTCAATAGTAGTTGATACTACGGGCCATAGATTTAAATCAGACAGTGATAAACATTACTATTTTTAAATGTTTCGTTGAAATATCTGCAAAGAAAGTTTAGGAAAATTGGTACCCCACCCTCCCAACAAATCTTAATACACCTATGGCATAAGTATTAAATTGTAGAACCCTCCTAAGAAAAATTTTGGTAAAATAGTTTTAACGAACTTTCTGAATTAAAAACTTTTAAATAAAAATTGTACTTTTTACTTCAACTTTAACGCAGATTTACATACAGAACAAAAGATTAAATGTTAATTTTGATATTATATAAAGTAGACATTATATATAATATAATATACATTACATTTCACATATACTTAAAGGTATCAAATTTTCCAAAACATTGGTGAGATCTCTATATTTACAATAGAAACTCAAGAAAACGATGAACGAAAACTAAAAACATTCGACATGGAAGTCTTGACATTATTTGTTATTATGTATTTGTTATTATGTTGAAATATGTTAGGGTTCCCGATAGACGCACATGCACATTTCATATATTTGAGCAATTTATTTGAGTATTTTACAGCAAATCCTGAATTTATGCTATTTGTCTTATGAATGACAAACAATAGTTTAAAAAAAGTAAATGGTACATAAATAGATTCTTCATAAAATATGTATATATTTACACGTCTAGAACTAAAAATATTATAAACTATTTTAGCCAAAACTGTGACATACGATATCTCAATAAACCGATTGATTTATGAAAAGCTATAGTTTACACAAAACAAATTACATCATACAACTTATAAGATTATTTTTAAATACATCAATAAGAATTTATTATACTTACCTTTAATGTAAATTAAATGACATTAACTGTATAAATAAAGTTAATTTAACAAAAATTATCAATATTTTAAAATTAATACATAGTTAAGTTAAAGTGAATAAAATTCACTTAAAATTGAATTACTAGAAAAATTAAACAGTTTTATTCAATTTAAAACATTGTTTTGTTATACTATCATTTTACAAACAAGTTCAAGCACCTCGAAAAACACGTATAGAACTATTGACTCTAATGTTATTTTCAGAATTAAAAAAAAATTAAATATTAATGACTAAATTAAAAGTTTACAAAATAATTATAATTAATTTTAATTATCAATAATAATAAAATGTTGACCAATAAATTATATGTATTAAAACATTTTTGAGTAATAAATTAAAAAAAAAAGTTTAATGCTCAAAAATCCTAATGTGTTGTTTAAACTGTTAAATAAATGATTAAGTTGATAACACAGATAAGAAAATTTTTTAGCGTTCTTTTTCAGTAATTATTGTGTATTGCATAAATAGAATAAATTTGGTTTTAATTCTGATACAAATCAAGCTAGTACAACTTCATATCTCTAAGCTTTTATAAACCTTCAGGTGATATGAATAATTTTTAAGTTTAAATAGTTCTTGACATAAATTAATTAGAGCTAAAGTAGTTTAAATATATTAAAAAAAAATTTGTTTAATATAAAGTTAAATGTAAAAAATCAATTGGATATTTCAAATTACTGGTAAATGGCTAAAAAAATTATATAACTCAGTAATCATTTTATTTCTTTTAAAAATAATGGCTACTCCAAATAATAATAATGCGACTGATGAAGAAAAAATTGATCCAATGAAAGATGTTAGGAGTGGACTTGTACGTGAAGTAGGAAATCAAGCTATTTGGAGTTTATCTTCTTGTAAACCAGGTAATTAACAGCTGTAAAATATAATTTATTAAAAATTAAAAATCATTATAAATGAAATCACTAGGTTTTGGTGTTGATCAGTTAAGGGATGATTGTATGGAAACATACTGGCAATCTGATGGACAGTTACCACATTTAGTAAATATTCAGTTTAGACGTAAAACAGTAGTTCGTGATATATGCATTTATATAGACTACAGATTAGATGAAAGCTACACACCAGGTCGTATTTCTGTGCGAGCTGGTACAAATTTTAATGACTTGCAAGAAGTTGAAGTAGTTGAATTAAATGAGCCTTATGGTTGGGTTAGAATAATGACAAAAGATATCAATGATATGCCATTGAAAACATATATGCTTCAAATAGCCGTGATAACAAATCATCAAAATGGACGTGATACTCACATGCGACAAATTAAAGTACATTCACCTGTTGAAAAAAGAGATCTACTCATTGGTAACTTCAGTACCATAGAAATGAGGCAATACACTATAATTAAATAATTGTAACTATGAATATGATAATTTGTATGTATAAATAATTAATTTTTTTATTGACATTTGTTAGTTTTATACAAAAACGTAACAATAAATTTGTAACTGATAACTTATACTACACAAAACTTAATTTTAATATATCAAATTTATTACTCTCGTTATAGATAATTAAAGGCTAATACTTGCATTATGTGACAGGATAATAATGACATTCTATAGTTAGTCTTATTTGACTTTCTAATGTTCTAAAATAATTTAGTTCATGTTTTCTAAAAAACCCCTTTTAAAATTTTCAATGGGCTCTAAACAGATTTTAAATTGGGTTAGGTTTTATTACATTGTTAAAATATCCTTTGATAAATTTTAGTAATAAAGTTTGAAAATATTATAAAATTTTTACATGTAATCTTGCACATATTGAAATAAAAAAAAAGGATTCTTTTATAGAAGAATAATGTTCAATATAAAAGAAAACTTAATTCTTACTGTCATAAATCCCACTCTGATTAATATGCCAATGAAATTAATTATTCTTTATGAATTTTGTATAAAAAATGAATACTAAGTACTAAACATTTAGTATCAAAAAAACATAAAAGAAATCATTTTTAGTGATATGAATATATTGGGTTACTTTCAAAACCAATTACATTAAAACAATTTAAATTATCCAAAACTTATATTGAACTTTGAAAAAATAATTATTGTCAATTAAATACCTTATTCATAGATAATATTATTCTAAATTCAAAAAAAAATGAAAATAATAAGTATATTATTTTGAATCATCATTATAAAGCTGCTGACAGATTTATTTAATTTTAAAACTGTACAAATTATTCAAATTTAACTACTAGTTACTAGTTACTATAAATATTGAACTGTGATGATATATCAAACTTAACTTTTACATAATTTAAAAAATGCAAAAACTACATTTTACTATTAACGAACATCAATACATATAAATAAAATAAAAATACTACAGATTAAAGTGAAATTGTACTGTCAGAAATTTGTAGAATAATTGATTAGACAAATTAGAGAAAAGCTTTACTTAATACTACTACCCATTGCAGTAAAAAATTGTAAAGATACACTTTATATTTTAACAACCACTTTATTTAAATTTAAAATAAATTATTTACATATAACTTAAAATTAACATACTTTTTTGAAAAAAAATTGTACACAACATAGTATGTTTTATCACAGAAACATTTTTTTTAATTACAATTTCAGATAAATAAATAAAATCTCTAAAAATGTACACTTTGAATTCTAGTACCAATATGAGTATCTGTCAAACCTTGTACAATTGGTGTAATTATAACATGAAGTTTTAATGGAGCAGGCTGCCCAGGCATAAAATATGATACATTAGTATCATTAATATGAACCATTTCTTCATCAGATGTAAGAGAATTTATACCTTCAAAAACCATTAGATCGTCAATTCTAATTATGTTTTGATTACTGTCAAATGAAGCTATTTTTTGAACTACTGTAATAACATGAGGAACTTTGTTTTGAACACCATATATTAAAATGGCCACTCGTACATGTCGAGAAATTTTTCCAAACTCATCAGGTCGCAGCTTTAATTTAACAGTAGCACGAATTGTTTTTATTACAACTTCTGGTAGTTCTACAGATCCACGCCATGTCATTAATAAGGATTTTTCATAACATATGCCTTTTAAAAACAATTCAATTTCCTGAAAATAGCAATCACGATGTTAATAAACATCCAATAATTTTATTTTCTTAATCCTTTTTAAGTATATTTTTATATTTTATATAATAAAATATTTATTGAGATATTAATAAGAACTAAATATCTAAAGCCAACAATATTAAAATAAAATATCAATTAAGTGAATTGTCTGTAAACATAGTTAACTTATTAATATATTTAATAGTTAATTAAATAAAGTAATATTAAGAATTGTATCATAATAAAAAAAATCATTTTTATCAATAAAATATTATTTAATGGTGAAATCTTCATTTTTTTTTAATGATTAATACATTATAGATATACAAAACAAAATAATTGATTATTTAACACTAATTATTGAATATGCAAACTACACAATTGTAAGAAAAATATTCTGGTATCAGTTTTATAGTGGGGAATAAAATTTTTGATTGTGGATGTATTGTTATAGTATTAAATACTTACCCACTGAGATTCTTCATTTCTTTCATGGTCACGGTCAAATAAATTACTAGATGTTAAAATTTCGCGTTTAATGGATTGATAATTTTGAATACTTTTTGTACGAACTCTAAATAATTTTCCCCATCGTAGTTTACAACTAGTGTATAATCTAGGAGTACATTCTAATATATGTTCCCCAAACGTTTTATTTAAATTTTTTTCTAAAAAAAAAATTCTTATTAGTTTATTTATTTATAACATAAATTACTATAAATAAAATAGTTTTTATTGAAAAAATGATAATAATTTACAATAAGAAAATTATAATTAAAATATAAATTATCAACTATTATATATTAATAACTATTTAAATAATATGATGATTTAATAGAAAATAAAACAAAAAAAATACATAGCCTACATTTAACAAGAATTAGATAAATAGAATATTATACAAAAATTTTGCATAATCCAAATACAATAACTATCCTTAGCTCAAACCTATCATTATCTAAATACGAAAATACTAAAAATTATAATCAATGATTTTTAAAACTTTAAAAATTGTAAAAACTTTTCAAGATATAAATTCCATAACTTTAAAATTATTTTTGTAAAAAACCTACCATAATTCACTAAAGTGTACTCCATTGCTGCAGCCATCTTATCGACAAAAAAATCCTTATTTTGCTTGACAATTGATAGCATAAGAAGCTGCGCCATTTGTCTAGGTAGAATCATTGGATATCTTATGTAAGACATGACATGTCGTGTTAAAGAACTCATATACTCATCAATAAAATCAGGATCATTGCATTCAATTTGTTTTTCAGCTGATTGATAATTTAACCAAGATGCAACACATCTAAAATAAAATTGTATTTATATAAACAAAGTACTATAGTTTTTAGAAAAATATGTGAGAATGCAAGTAATATACAGATGATTCACATATCATGAACCATTAAATTAATTAAAAAATAAAAATAATATTTATGATTTTTTTATTGGTTTCTTTTAATGCAATGTTTCTTTCAATTTTTTTATCATAGTTTTTTTTTCTGTTCATTTCTCATACCTTATAAGAGTGTCAACTTTAACTTTTCAAATGGCAACACACATAATTAATTGCCTTATTCAACAATAATCTAATTAAGTAAATGAGTGGTCGATTACAACTTCTGGACCAGTATTTTAGAAGTTATTAGCATGTTTATATCTAGTTGAGAAGAAAAGTACAGCTGGGAAATGTCTAGTTATAAAAGTAGTAGTACCCACCTCCAGTAATTACTTTAAATTATTAATACATCATTTCTGCAATATCTTTATTCAGTATAAAAAATATCTAGATACATTACTTTCAAATAATTCTTTTTAATAACACATCAAAAATTAGTATTAAGAATTAAATAAACTAAAGTAAGTGTGTTTTTTTTTTGTTATTTTCTTTAAAAGAAATATGAAAAAATAGCATATTTAAAAAAATTGAGAGTACATTGTTTTTTACTAGAATTTTACAGTTTTAATGACAAATAAAATTTTATTTCGATATTAAAAATTAATGAGTTTGTATATTTTCTAATAATATTAGATTCATAGTTAGTGTATAAAAAAATGTATTTTCATAAAACACCTACTAATTGTTATTCCTAAATTTCTACCTATATTTTCCAACCCATATTTATTTATAAAAAGAGAGTATTAAGATTCTAATAATATTGTGTTTATAAAATACATATGCCATTAGTTTTCAAAAATTTATTGAATCGTATATTATCATAACAATAATTAAATATCACTATGAAATCCCTATAATAATCCTAAGGCAGAATATTGTAAGTTAAATATAAATGGGAATTTGCAGTTGGCCATACATTCTCTATTAAATTGCATTCTACTAACCCAAATAGCTGCATTTCATCATGAACAACAACATCTGACTGTTGCAACAACCCAACTAAAACATCACATTGAAAAGTATTGAAACATTTTGTACAAGAATCTAGATTCCATTTAATATAATTTCTACAAGCCTGTAAAATATATACATTTTGTTTAAAAACAAAGCTTTTTTTATTTAAAGATAGAAAATTATTTTAGAAATTCTATAATATTACCTTAAGCAATTTATTCCATGGAGATTTTACATTGAAACATTCACTGTCTTGCCAAATTTTACAATAGTATGATGCCTAAAATGACCATATTTTTATAATTTCAATATTTACTTTGTGTAATAATATTAAGTCATTAAATTATTAGTTTTCATTTTTATTATTTATATTAGTCATAATTAGATCTTAACAAAAATAACATTTGTTAAGTTTTCAAGTAAAAATATTTTTCTATTAGTTTTTAATAAAAAAATTACTAACACTGATTTGGGAAGGTTGATTTAAAGATAAAACATACTGAAACCATGTAACTAATTGACCTTGGTCAGCAGCATCAGCAATATGATCACACATATATTCAACACACAGCAAAGTAAGATCCTAAAATGTTTTTTCAATGTAATCTTTTTCATAATATTTAAAAAATATTACATTACCTTAACATTGTATTTGTCTGCCAATACAAGCATTGGCATTATATTAGATTGCTCAAGTGTTATAACACCAGTATAAAAATATTTTAAAAATATTGGAAACACTTCAATGCATTGTTGTATTTCTTGCAATTCAACAACTTCTTGATATGAATCACTCCATTTTGTATTCATAAGCATAGTCTAAACAAAATTATAACTGCATAAATACCAATAGTAGCGTTGAAATTTTAAATTTAGAACCTACTTCAAATACATCACTGGATATACACAACATAAAACGATGAGCAGGATATGGAACACCTCCAACTAAAAGTGTAATATCATTTAACAATTTATTTGTGTAAACATTCTGAATTTTTTTCAATAGAGCATTTGAATTATCATTCTAAAAAAAATATATTGTATAACGTTTAAATAAATAAATCTTCTTTACAAGATTACTCACAATATTTGGAATAGCATAAGAATGATCCATTTCACACTCTACAGACATTTTTCGACGCTTCATACCAAAAAAGTGTTCAGAAATTTATTAAAAATCCAATCAGCAAATAATAACTGTTTTACAGACATTAAACACATAAAATACGTCTTAATTAACAACTATTTTAAACTAAATATAAGAAAATAGCATAAACTTGATTTCAAATATTTAGTTCTTAATATTATCTATTTCACATATTATTTATTGATAAGGAATTATCATCAATTGTATTTATAATGGAATGGGTAGAGATAAAAACCATAGATATACACTAATCACACAGATATAGATAATAAACATTATTTATATCTGTTTATTATCTATATGCTAATACGATAAAAACACAGATCAAATGAAAGTTTCATCTAATCTTAGTAAAAATAACATATGATTGAAGATTACTTTTTCAACTAGATATATAGACAAGATTACATTTCGAGGGTAGAGGTTTCAAATGAAATTATCTTTTTTTCCCGCACAATATTATAAAAAAATTGACTTGTATGCATAATGTAATCTTGAAATCATTTTGTTGGAAATGTCTTGACCTCCCCTGACTTCGACAAAACATAAGTTAATCGATTCCCATTGTTTCGAGGCATTGCTACTTATACAGTATCGCAAAATCCTAAGTATGCTTGGTGAACAAGGCACATGGCCTACAGGCGCTACATACATTAGGGGGCAACCCGTCTTAAAAATACCATTATACTACTAATTTGGTAAATGGTATCTTAGTTTTGGATGGACACCTTTTTAATTGCTACCAACTGTTGGAGAACAGTTTTCAACATAAATAGCCAATTATAGAACAAGTATATTATTGATAACCAAACTTAGTTCAATTGGTAAGGAACGGGCTGACTGATATCATAAAAAATCGTGTGGATAAGTTTTTAAGTGAACCTCATTAATATTTTAAAGACATTTTTTTTTTATAACATATATTACTTATAAATATATATATATAAATTTTGTATTTATTATTATATAAATTACTTATAAAGGGCTGATGAGGAGATTTACATATTCCTATCCTTCAAGACCATCAAATAATTTATTAGGAAATTACACAAATATTTATATTGTCTATGTATAGCACAAATTAGTGAAACACTATTTTAAACAATTTTAACTTTTAAATATTAGCTATAGAAGTATTATTTTTACAACATAAAAATAAACTATTGTTTAATATAAATAGTTAAAACCTTTAATAACAATGCGAAGAAAGTTAAACAGTCTTATTTATTTGATACCACAATTAAATATGATCAAGCAGTAATGAATTCATGAACCAATAACATCATCTAATGATATAATGAAATATAAAACAACTCAGCTATTTTCTAAAACTTTTTATTAATGTATGCAACAAATTATTTTAAAAATGTTTAATATTTTCTTCTATATGAACAGCCTGAAAAAAAAATTATAACTATTATATTTCATTATAAATTGTCAAGATGTGTTCAAAGAAAAACTTAAAACACATTCACTATCAGTGAAAAATTTTAAATGTTACATTTGGCTGATTATTCCATATGAATAAATAAACAATATTAAATTTTTAACTAAGAAATTTCATAAATAGTAATGATTTTTTCATTAAAGAGTACTGTAGTTGTATAACTAAATAGTACATAATTGTCCATTACAATTTGCTATGTTGAAAAATTTACAATTTTCAAGTTATATCACTATTATTACAAATAAACCATATGATAAAATCTGTAGTTATCCTACTGATATTTTAACATCAACAACATGTAAGTTCTAATGTTACTACAATAATTTAGAATATTCTAATACATCATTTTTATTAAAACCATATTAATTGTTTATGTATGTGTTCAGTAAATAAGGAAAATACTTGTAATATTTCCATTCACAGGCGTAGTTTGAAAAACACGTATGAGGGTTATTGTCTATTATTATTATTATTATTATCTATTTCATGAGTCTGCATAATACACCTAGTGAAAAGCTTTTTCGCCATATTTCTTTGTTGGGATTATGAATGTGTAAATTCAATCTTAAGCCCCTTAAGTCACCATGCAAGCTTAATATTCCCATTGCTCATAAAAATTGACCTGTTTCTATACTTTTTTAACATTATATATACTGATTGTTTTGTAAAATTAAAAAGTAATAATGCAGTTTTATGCAAGACACTGTTTTTTCAATACTTCAGTACTAATGAAGATACATGTTGTTTGTTTAAGGATAGATATCTTCTTCTTCCTCGCCTTTATCCCAATTACTTGGATTCGGCCACAATATATATCAGTTTTAGGACAGATATATTATATGTATTTTTAAATAGTTTCTAAGCTATCTACACATGTAATTTAAGTTGCAGTAGTGCCAAATAAAAAAATTAATTTTCTAGAAATAAAACTGTTTATACAGTACATACCTGAGAAAGTTGGTAATTTTAATATTGAAAAATGTTTGTTTTTACTCTTTTTCCTTACCATGTTTTATTTGATGTTAGTTCAATTATTAATGTTACTTACCATCTGATAGTTTTCCTTTGCCCCCTGTTGGTCTACTTAATACAACCATGCAACTATCACATTTAACTTTATTTTGAATATGACTAAATACAGTTTTAATTTTATAGCACCCTATAAAAGGAAATTGTTTTAAAATTAATATTTTATTTTTAAAAATTTGATTATTACCTGGACATTTGATATCCATAAAATATGAATTTGGACGAGGTACAAGCCGCTTTAATTTATGACATTGTTGATCATCATTGACTGTTGGATGCAATATACTTTTAGCCAACTAGAAGTATTTATTTTTAGATTTAATTGGTGAAACTGATTAATTATCTTTCAATTTTCATCATTAAAATAGTATTGATTGGAAAGATGTTTTAAACAAGTGAAAATTGATAACTACACAACAGATATTAAATTTATAATGCTTTAATCAATTTAATCAATAACACCGGCACCGGATCAAGTAGGATTTTTATGTATGTCAATTTACTAAATCTGATTCTGAATGTTAATTAGCACGTTGAGTCATCAAAATTTGATAAAATAGTGAAAAAACCAAAAAATTGCAATAAATCATGAAAAATTGAAAAAGATAAAAAAAATTTTTTTGATTCAAATTGAGTATGGTTCTTATGTATTTTGTTTCACTGAATTTGAATCTGAAGTTTTTATAACCCATTAACGTTTTAAAATTTTAAAAAAATTGTGAAAATTTCAGTTATAAATATGAGAAAAAAATGTATTATATACGATTGTTAATGACTTGACAAAGCAGAGAAAGTAGACACGCAGGCGTCGTCATCAAGCAACTGCAGCTCTTCAGTAGTGGGAAACTTGGCTACTAGAGAGTATACCATTACAAGAAGCAATTTCCATCTTGGTAATAAAAGTCCTGATTCATTTTGTTATATTTGTGGCGAGTTTTTCACAAGACAAGGCCTGCTTTCTCACCCTGATTGGCCAAACAGACATCAAATCGGATTCAGTGGGTCAAAATACATGTCCGTAGGTAGGTCCGGTCAAAAGTACAAACAACTTTATTTTTTTGTGTGCCGGTGTAATAATTTTAAATTTTTAGGGCATGAAAATTAATTTAAATTGTCTGGTTTGAAATTATTTATAGTAATTAATATTAATTAATTACAATACAATTTAAGAATAATTGGATTTATACAACTTACAGGCATTTCGTACACAAATTGAATAAACAGAAAAACAATTACTGTGTAAAAAAAAAATGTTATTAATCAAAGATAACAGTCTCGAAAATACTAATAAATGAATTGATTATAGCAATTATTCATGTCCTAAGTATCAAATATTCTAAGACCAATACTAATTATTGAATACAATATATTTAAACAATTGCAATACAATAAAGTATTAAGTTATATTACAGAAAAAGTTAAATTTATTCTTTCATAATTCATAGAAGTTAAAATGTTTTATCTCAAATTATTATCACATAAAAAATAACAGTTCATCAGTATCAAGCATAAATTTTTATAAAATAAATTAACCTATACATATTTGTCCTAAAGATGAAAATTTTCAACGAGATATAAATATATTATATAATTAATTAAATTTATTGTATATAATTTTTTAATTACTTTACTTATATCCAGCTAAAATTATTTTTTACGTAAACACTGTAGAGATTTTCTTCTACCTAAGTTGGTCACTTGTTTGGCCTTCTACATTTACTTAAAATCCTAACCTCAAATAAGAATTTAATGTGATTTCGCTTTGAACAGTTTGTTTACATTATTCAATATTCCCATCCCAGTCTTTTCCCTGAAGTTGTGTGTGGTATATACAACATTAGTTTTTCAAAATGGGTAAGTCGGTAATTTTATCCAATCGAATCTTCCTTATAAATGTAGCTATTTTCTAATTTTTTTTATTAATTTAATTAAATTTATTTAACAAATTGTTTTTTACACAAATAATATCAATTACTCTGTAATATATCTGTTGCAAGATTATCTAGTATTGCTCATGTGTCGATTTCTATTACTTAGGTATATCCCGTGATACATGGCATAAACGTAGGAAGACAGGAGGTAAACGTAAGCCACTTCGCAAGAAGAGGAAGTACGAGTTAGGACGTCCAGCAGCTAACACAAAGGTAGATAATACGTCACTTAAATATTTTATTGTTCCATTAACATCTAAATAATATAATCAATTGTATTGTCAACTAGTTAACATGGTTTGGAATATACGAGTTAAAATGTTAAATTTCAGTTAATTTAATAGTATCTATTTTTAACCTAGTTAATGTGTAAACTTAACTGAAGTAGTGTAAAAGTTCGGTTAATTTTTTTCTAATTTCTTTTAAGTTAATTTTATATTTCTAGTATTAACTTAATTGGTTGTAAAATTTATTATCTTATCCAGTTTTGCAAATTTATATAAACCTTATAAAAAATAATTTTCAGGTTAGCTTGTACCAAATTTTTGCAAATGTTAGTTTTTTTTTACAAAATATATGTATCAAAAGTTAATATAACTTTTAAGTAGTTACTTCATAAGTAACATCTAAAACAAGTTTTGATTAAAATTACTTATCGACTCTATATTATTTGGTATTACATGAAGTAGATTGCCTTATGTTATTAAGTTTATGATAAAGTTGATAAGAAGCATATACAAAAAAAGATGTATCAAAATAATAAAGTATCTTATTTTTTTATTCTCTTGTAAAATTGATAAAACTGAGGAGTAGTAGTACTACTTCTTCTTAAGAAATGATATATAAAATCAATTTTTTTTTTTCAATGGTCATTATGTAATCATGTATTACTACACTAATCAATAGTCCACTTTTTAACCTTCTTTAATTATTACCCAACAATCAAATTTATACTAACTAGCATAGTAAATGTTTTTCTTTTCTATTATGTATAGAATATAACAATAGTTATTTGATATGTTCAATTACATGATTATTTTTTCAATATTTGTATTTATTAACATATTCCTTTAATTTCAAGTTTTGTCTATTAATGATGATATTTTAAGAATGAAAATTGTGTATGATATTAAAATATATCCGCTTATTAATATCCTGAAGTAGACAAAATTAAAAAAAAAAATTTATGAGGAATTATCCAGTTAAATTTTTATATATCAATCAGAATTAAATTGTATTATAATAATTTATGATAAAATAAAATACACTCGGATTAAATAAATTTGAGTGATTAAATAACTATGCTAAAAGCATTAATAGTATATTAAGTAAAATAGCAATTTTAAGCCCTAAACGTTTATATCCTAAATACTTATAATTCTGATATAACTTACAGCTTGGAGCAAGACGTGTACATATTGTTCGCACCAGAGGAGGAAACAAAAAATATAGAGCTCTAAGATTAGATCAAGGAAATTTTTCATGGGGTTCTGAAGGTATTGATCATAACTATACATAACAGAATTACATAATTTATTTTAATGTTTATTTATCCCAACATTATTTTGTTTAGGTATATCTGCCAAATCTCGTATCATTGATGTTATATACAATGCATCTAACAACGAGTTGGTTAGAACAAAAACTTTGGTAAAAAATGCTATTGTAGTCATTGATGCGACACCATTCCGTCAATGGTATGAAGGTCATTATGCTCTACCCTTAGGGCGTAGGAAGACCACTAAATTAGTATGTATTAATTTTTTAAGAAATCAGAATTTGCTATTTACACATTTTTTTAAATAATCGGAATAATTCTTAATCAATATGTTTAACCCCATTAAAATGATCCTTATATAAGTGTTTTCATTTTGACTCTAAAAATTTTAACTTTATTTCTTCAACTATGATTAATATATTAATAAAATTTTGTAGTGTTAATTCTTCTTAGTTCTAATTTTTAGTCCTACAGTTAATTCATTATTATTTTATATAAGATTTAAAACATTACTTTCATGTTCATTTTGAAAATACTAAAATCCCCTATTAATTCATTGTTAAATAGATAACTTATATTTGAAGGATATAGAGAATTATATATCCATTCAGTTTAAAAATCAATTCATTTTGCTAATATTTAATTATCTATTTATGTTTTACTGCTAAAGGCTTACAAATGTACAACTTGCCAGAAAAATTTACAAAAAAAATTTCCTGTGCCCTTCATTTGTAGAGCTCTGTGATGAACCTTCATTATTGATAGGAATTGCCGTCTGATAAATTGATGACCGTGTACTATCTGAGAGCAAAAATTCGTGCTAAGATTAAAATTATTTTCTAGTTAATCAAAACTGATGATGAGTGATATATCGGTTCCTGATAATTTTATGAGGAATAATTTATTCCGCAGCGCTCTGAAGTTGTATAAAATAAATTTTACTATAAATAAATAGATTTTGAATGATGAGTGAAATTTCGGTTCCTGATAATTTTATGAGGAATAATTTATTCCGCAGCGCTCTGAAGTTGTATAAAATAAATTTTACTATAAATAAATAGATTTTGAATGATGAGTGAAATTTCGGTTCCTGATAATTTTATGAGGAATAATTTATTCCGCAGCGCTCTGAAGTTGTATAAAATAAATTTTACTATAAATAAATAGATTTTGAATGATGAGTGAAATTTCGGTTCCTGATAATTTTATGAGGAATAATTTATTCCGCAGCGCTCTGAAGTTGTATAAAATAAATTTTACTATAAATAAATAGATTTTGAATGATGAGTGAAATTTCGGTTCCTGATAATTTTATGAGGAATAATTTATTCCGCAGCGCTCTGAAGTTGTATAAAATAAATTTTACTATAAATAAATAGATTTTGAATGATGAGTGAAATTTCGGTTCCTGATAATTTTATGAGGAATAATTTATTCCGCAGCGCTCTGAAGTTGTATAAAATAAATTTTACTATAAATAAATAGATTTTGAATGATGAGTGAAATTTCGGTTCCTGATAATTTTATGAGGAATAATTTATTCCGCAGCGCTCTGAAGTTGTATAAAATAAATTTTACTATAAATAAATAGATTTTGAATGATGAGTGAAATTTCGGTTCCTGATAATTTTATGAGGAGTTATTTATTCCGCAGCGCTCTGATTTAACTTATTGAAATTATGTATTTGAACTACCATAATTTAAAAGTTATATGATTATAATAACCTGTTTACTTGTTAGTTTCAACTGTTTTAATATTAGAATAGATGAATATTCAGAAATTTAGATAATTTCTAGGTTAAGAAAAAGAAGTGACCCTTTAACTCAAACTTTCTTCAAGAATATATTTGTAAAATTAAATACACTTTATGTTGAGACCAATTTATTGTTTGCTATAATCCCAAGGTTAATGATTACGCCTTGAAAAAAAATAAATGCCATACCAAATTTATTTTTCTTATACTCTCATCACTATATAACTTATTACACTAAATATCTGTATTGTTCAAAATTATAATGAATTTTAAATTAATATTGAGTTTTTATTCTATGGACATTAAATTTTTTTTTAATAAAAAAAACTAGCAATCTTACATTAAAATCTATCTTCTCTTACTTGATATAAGGTATACAATACATTATATTTACCTGATAAACATAATTTTTTCATAAATTATTTATATCTATGGCATAATTGACAAATTTTACACATTAAAAAATTTTCTTTAATTTGATGAATTTTCAATTGTAGAACATAAAAATTAATTATATTTACATTAAAAATGCCCTCAACAATTTCAAAACTATGCCCCTTAAAGACATCTCGGTATCTATTTATGTACAATGATGAACTTTTCTTGTTTTGATAGGAATTGCCGTCTGATAATTAATGACGACCCTTGAACTTATCTGAGTACTTGAAATTTCGTTTATTCCCTATTAGTACTTTAATATTAACAATTCAAAAATATATAAGTATTTATTTTATTTCTGATTTTTATTGAAGATCTTTATTTTATGCTGCAGTGCTCTGATATCAATGTCTAATTGTGTTAATCTAGTTTATTTATTAAACCATACTAATTTGTGTGCAATGATGTTAGATTTTACTACAACAGAATAATGCTCTGCAATATTCAAAATAATATAAAAAAATTTTAAAACTAAATTACTGATATCTTTTAATTATATTTTTGTTAGACTGAAGCTGAAGACCAAGTATTGAACAAAAAACGGTCAAGAAAAGCAGAATTAAAATACAAAAAAAGACAGCGTTTTGCTAAAGTTGAACCAGCTATTGAAGAACAGTTCCAAACATCTCGCCTTCTTGGTAAGCATATAATATCAATTATAACTTAATTTTATTAATTATATTCATGATACGCTATGATGAATATATTTTATTATATGATATTGATTTGTTAGTATTAATTGTTTTTATTAATACTTTTCAATTATATGAACTCTTTTTGTCATAGTTACACTGAGCGTTGATTAAAACTTACTTGCAGGTTAATTCTTGTTGTGATGATAATTATGTTACTTGATACATCTTAAAACAATTATATCTTATGATCATGTCATAGTTACCCTGAACATAAATTTTAATGTTTAATTACATTGAAGTAATTACGCAATATTATGATGTTTTAAGTAATCTCGTTAATATGAATATTTAATTGAAATAAAACAACTAAAATCTGAATATTGCACTTTGTAATATCATAATGAAAAATTGATGACTGATTATCATTATATATATATACATTGTTTTTTTTCCATCATTATGAACTTACCATACAAATATATTTATATAATCTCATTGAATGAGCCACAAATCATTAATTTAATGTAATAGTCTTAAAATATTCAGTTTAATGTTTAAAAGTCAATTTGACTAAAAATTATGCTATGTAATTCATGTTATTATAATTTTGTTTCATTTATTAAAACACAAGAGTATTTTTCATAACAACCTAATGATACTCATTGTATTATAGTTAAGTTTTTAATTCATTAACATATTGGATTTCTGTTGATTGAATATATTTATATTAAGATAATATTACTTTTATTTTTGTTAGTGTTGTTTTTTAAAAAAAATTATAACCCTAAAAACCTATTATTAGTCATAATTTTTTTTTTCAGCGTGTGTGTCTAGCAGACCTGGTCAATGTGGAAGAGCCGATGGTTATATTCTAGAAGGCAAAGAACTAGAATTCTACCATAGGAAAGTAAAGGCCAAGAAGGGCAAATAAATAAAATGTTTATGTCTTATATATAACATTGTTCTTTTGACATTAAATGTTTTTGACATAATTCATATCTTTTTATATATAAACTAACACATTTAAACTGAAATTATCCTTAAACAAATAAATAAGCTACAACAATCATAATGGTGATGCCAATGGATCAGTTAGTACCCCAGCAATAAGACTAACTTTAGTGTGTAAATCTATTACAAAATATACAAATGGTCTTGAAATAACAAAATTATGTTCAACATATTTGCGTTGAATTTCATAAACTGAAACATAATGATATTGTATCAATTAAATTTAGAAATTAATATGTATAAAAACAAAGTAATATAATTGTTTATTGTAAATATATTACTCATCTCAACATAATAAGTAATCAGGTATATCGCCCTACTTGGACATGTTTATTATATGATTAACTACTTATGTGCCAACAAAAACATTAATAAGCTTGCCCCTAACATTATTTTTTTGGACGATCGTCGCCAAAAAAAAAATCTAAAACCATTCAAGATTGTAATATATTACAATACATTTAGTATTATAATGTTTAATGTTTTACCACACAATAAGTTTTATAATTTTAAAAATAAAGCAAACATGAAATCTAGCATATAGATATGAAAATATAATAAAAAATATGATGTTTCAGACGTGGTAAACTAAATAATAACATATTTACAGACCCTCCATACACAAAATTGTGATAGTAAAGATATAAGACTCCCCAAATAATTTTTTAATGTTGTATCTACGAGATTCCTTTTTCAATTTTTATTTTCTGAGAAATGAAAATTAGTACATCAAGCTTTTAAATAACCTAGTAAACCCAGCTCAGCGAGTCTAGTGCCTTAGTCATTAAGTACTCATCTTATAGTTATGCCTTTTTTTATATATTAAAATTTAGTCTTGGAATACAATCAAAATCATAAAAGTCATTAATTGATTCATGTTATTGAAAGAAAAATCTGTCAAAAAAATGTGTTGATCCGATCCGTCTTATAATGGATTGTCTCAAACCCTACTAAATTTAATAATGAAAGTTGTTAATTTAGAGAATATAAAGTTCAAGTTATTAAAATATTTAGTCTAGGTCTTTCATTCTGATACTAGATCAACACGAGTATAAAAAAACCCAGCACAGGGGGGTCGCGGCACAGTTGTGACGTGGTATAGTTGGATCAAGTATAATGATATCTGACAGTGATTAAAATCACTATCAAAAATAAACGCTTCGATGCAAATCTTTAGATAGTGTTTAATTTAAAAAAAATTGGTGTTTTATTCCAAAAGCTACTTGAT